AAAATCAGATCTTAACCAACTTATTCAGAAATATCCGAATCTTTTTGCAGAACCAAACGAAAAATTGACTTACACAACAAACGTGAAAGCTGAGATACGTACAAACACTGACACACCAGTCTACTCGAAATTTTATCAATATCCAATGGCACTTAAAGACGAAATTGACCGACAAATAAAAGAACTTTTAGACACCAATATAATACGACCCTCTAGATCGCCTTACAATTCACCAGTGTGGATTGTACCAAAAAAATTAGATGCCTCCAATGTAAAGAAATATAGAATGGTAATAGATTACAGAAAATTAAATAGTGTTACAATAGCAGACAGATACCCGATACCAGACATAAATGCAGTTCTTGCACAACTGGGAAATAATAAAATGTTTTCTGTGTTAGATCTCAAAAGTGGGTTCCATCAAATTCTTTTAAAAGAAAGCGATATAGAAAAGACAGCCTTCTCCGTGAATAACGGAAAATTTGAGTTCACAAGACTTCCATTTGGACTGAAAAACGCACCATCTATTTTTCAGCGTGCCCTAGACGACATTCTTAGGGAACACATAGGGAAAATCTGTTATATTTATATCGATGACATAATTGTCTTCAGTCCAGACGCACAATCTCATTCAAAAAATTTAGATACAATATTTGAAACCTTAAATAATGCTAACATAAAATGCCAATTGGATAAATGCGAATTTTTCAAAAATAAAGTTGAATTTTTAGGATTTGTAATTTCAGATAAGGGAATAGAAACTAATCCAACAAAGGTAGAGGCCATCGCTAACTACCCCATTCCCAAAAACGTTAAGGAATTAAGATCTTTCCTTGGACTGTCAGGGTATTACCGACGATTTATTATGGGCTACGCTGCACTAGCAAAACCACTCACCACATTACTTAGAGGCGAGGATGGGAGAATTTCGAAGAAAGCTTCATCGAAGAAATCTATTCACTTCAACAATGAAGCCATTCAGGCCTTTAATAAATTAAAAAGCACCCTAATTTCAGAAGACGTAATATTACAATATCCAAATTTTAACGAGGAATTTGTATTGACAACAGACGCCTCCGATCACGCAATTGGAGCAGTACTTTCACAAAAAGACAGACCTATAGCTTTCATATCTAGAACACTATCTCAAACCGAAGAAAACTACGAAACGGCAAAGAAAGAAATGTTAGCCATTTCATGGGCAGTAAAAACACTTAGAGGATATCTCTACGGTGGAACCAAGGTTAAAATCTATACTGACCACGAACCACTTACACACGATTGTAATTGGAAGGGAGGGATAGCGATCAAGAGATGGAAATCATATCTTGACGAATATAATAAAGAATTACTTTATAAACCCGGAAAGGAAAACATAGTGGCCGATGCTTTGTCTAGGATCCCCATAAGCAACCAAATTAACTCATTAACAGCAACACAACACAGCGCGCAGAGCTCTGGTCATAACCTTATCCCCAGCGTCGAAGTACCAATAAATGCCTTTAAGAATCAGATATTTATTTACAAAGAATACCCCCCCGACTACAAATTTACTATTCCGTTCCCCACCTTTCATAGACACGTTATAACTCGACCAGACTTTCAGAATATTGATCTTATTGAAATATTAAAAAAACATTTAAATCCGTCAATCCTAAATGGAATTTTCACATCAGAAGAGATAATGGGAGAGATACAGCGAATTTATCCGGAACATTTCGGATCCATTAAAATCAGATTCACACAAAATAAAGTAGAAGATTTGACAGAAGAAACTAAGCAGGAAGAATTAATATTAGAAACACATAACAGAGCACATAGAAACGCAGAAGAAAACAAAAACCAACTTGCAGAAAAATATTATTTCCCCAAAATGAAACAAAAAATAACAACATTAGTCAAACAATGCAGGGTATGTAAAGAAGGCAAATATGATAGACATCCCCCCAATCCAGAAATTAAAGAAACCCCAATTCCTGAATACCCTGGACACATAATCCACATTGACATCTTTTCAACAGAAAAGAAATTAGTATTGACTGCAATAGATAAATTTTCCAAATTAGCACAGGCAAAAATTATAAAATCCAAATCCACTGAAGACATTAAAAAACAGTTACACGAAATAATATTCTACTATGGAGTACCCAAATTTATAGTAATGGATAATGAAAAAGCTTTTAATTCAGCATCTATTACCTTTATGATGAGAGATCAATTAAATATAACCATTTTTAAAGCTCCTCCCTACAAAAGTTCAGTTAACGGACAGATTGAACGATTTCATTCGACCCTTTCGGAAATAATGAGATGCCTTAAAACCAAACAAATATACAACACCTTTGAAGAATTATTAGACAGAGCCATTTACGAATACAATTACACAATACATTCAGTAACGAAGAAAAGACCATTAGAAATTTTTTTTGGCAGAAATATTAATACCGACCCAGAACAATATGAAAAAAGCAGGCAGGATAACATAGAGAAACTTAAACAAAAGCAATTAATAGATTTAGAAAACCACAACAAAGAAAGGAAACCTATAAAATCATATCTACCAGGACAAGAAATATTTGTAAAACAAAACACCAGACTAGGCTCTAAATTATCCCCACGTTTTAAAAAAGAAATTGTCAAAGAAAACAGGAATACAACTATTTTAACAGAAGCAGGAAGGGTAGTTCATAAAAGTAATATTAAAGGTAACTAAGTCCGAAAACTCCTTAGGAAATTTTTGTCCACGTCAGTCCGAAACTAAAAAAAAAAAAACTAAAAAAAAAAAAAAAAAAAAAATATAATAAATAAGATTACCTATAACGTTTACAGCTGTTGTCCGCTTGGGGTTATCAGTCCGTTCGTGAGTGATCGGCCCATAACCCTACAATACCGTTGTTTAATGAGACATTTTTGTAATTACAGGATGTTGTTTTTAATAACGCTGATACCAATGGCAATCGCGACCACCGACATAACAAATTATACCGATGCACATACCATAACAATTCATAAGGGTATAGGAAAATTACAGATATCAACAATAAAATTAATTCACGTAATAAATTTAAAACAGATTGAAACGGAACTATTACAAATAAGAGAACACACAATAAACAGATTACAAAATAGTTTACATTATCACACTCTGACACACGAAATAATTCAATCACTTTCTGCTCTAAGCACACTTACCCTAACAACAAAAAGCCGTCGAGCTAGGTCAATAAATATGATTGGCTCAGCTTGGAAATATATCGCAGGTAACCCAGATCACGAAGATTTAGTTATGATAGAAAGTAACCTCAATAATTTAATTAAAAATAACAATGACCAAATTATTATCAATAATCAGCTTCAAGACAGAATAAATAATTTAACAACCACTTCCAATATGATAGCAAATTCAATTCAAAAAGACAGATTTTTTAATAATGATATTGCGTCGAGCTTGCAAACGCAAGTTAGACTTATGAAAGAAGAAATAGGAAACATTAAATTTGCAATACAATGGGCTAAAATTAACGTAATTAATACTCTTTTATTAAACGAACCTGAACTTAACGAAATAAATAAAATATCTCAAAAAAATAACATTACCTCGTTTTCAATTGAGGAAACACTGGAATTTGTTGATGTGTCTGTCTTACATAATAAAACAACCATAATTTACTTAATAAAAATACCTGAACTCGAACCAACTAACTATGAAAATCTTCTTTTAAAGCCTGTCATCAGAAACCAATTAATAATACATTTAGAAACTAAAGAACTTTTTATATCAAACAATGTAATACTAGGCCTACCCCATGATTGTAAAACTTCGAACTATGTTAAAATTTGTAAAAAAGGAAAAATTGTTAATTTAAGTAATTCAAAATGTATTTCAAAACTAGCTCAGGGAAAGGAATCGCTGTGTGATTATAGTAACTCGGACCACATTGAACCAATAGAGGAAATAGACGATGGCATACTACTCTTAAATGACTTTAACGGCAGCCTAATTTCAAACAATATTTCACATCAACTCAGAGGAACTTTCATGGTTACCTTTTTAAACGAAACTATAAATATAAATGGAAAAAATTTTACAAACAAAGAAAAAGTAATAATGAAACCCGAAATCCCACGAATTCAAATTACCCCATTGCAAGCACAACGCATTCAAATTCTGTCATTAGAAGCATTGGAAGCTCTACATATCAAAAATAGAAAGCACTTACAAACCTTACAGAATGATTCTACAATAAACCGAATAACCACAGTAACATTAATTTGCGCCATTGTTCTTGCATTGATCGTATTAAAAAACTGTATTCACAGAAAAGAAAAAGTAATCCTACATATTCAAGAACCGCCTCCACAAATTTTAAACAACAAAACTAATATTATATCAATTCCTAAAAAAATAATACCAGAATTTAATAATATTCCCTATTTCTAACACCTCTTGAGGACAAGCAGGTTTTTAAGGAGGGAGAGTTAATCACAGAAATATTTCTACATTTTTTCCGAGAAATATTGCAACATTGTCGATGGCAACATTGCAACATTTCAATACAACGGTCAAGAGCCCGAAAGTTCAATAACATAAACACGCCAAGAACCCCCAAGTTCAATAACATAAACACACGCATCCGGTCAGCAGCCACAGCGCAGTACCAAAATGCCGATTCTGCAAACCTTGCAGTTTCAGCCGCTCCACCAGAACTAGGCCACCGCCGCGGTCTCTTCCGCGACGTCGACGTCGCTGCCCCAACCCACAGCTTAGATCAGGGAATTTTTAAATGAATAAAATCAGTCTCAAATTGAACTCCGAATAAATCAAACGTTCAAAACTTATTTTTTGGGTTTTTATTATCCTGGAAATTAACTTATATACTTTATAGGGTCGGAAACGCTTCCTTCTACCTGTTACATACTTTTGCACGAATACAATATACCCTTTTACTCTACGAGTAACAGGTACAAAAATGAAATTTGGCCGTTTTTACTGCAGCCTCCTAGAGGCCTCCAAAGTGAGGCGAACGTGGGGGAATAAAACGCCACTCAATTGAATCTTCTAGGCAGAATTCCTCTATAGCTCGAATGTGTGGGCCAGACAGGAATAGATTTTTCAGCTCAGCCAGTTCGTTTTTAGCTCCAACGAAGTTCGTAGCATTATCTGACGATATCCGGGCAGGTTTGCCTCTGGTGAAAATAAACCGCTTCAATGCTCCCAAGAACGCTTGTGTTGAAAGATCCTGAACAAGCTCCAGGTGGATCGCTTTCATCGCAAAACAGGTGAAAACGCAGACGTACGTTTTCACAGGCACCTTGCTTCGAACTCCGGTTTTGTAGCAAAATGGCCCGCAGAAATCCAGTCCAGTAACCAAGAACGTTGATGTTGCATTTACACGATCCTTAGGTAGGTCAGCCATTAAGTGCTGAGATAATTGTGGTTTAGCTCGGAGGCATATGACGCACTTGGACGTTGCAGATGATACTGTTTTTCGGCCACCTATCGGCCAAAATTGAAGACGCATGTTAGCGAGCAGCGCTCGCGGACCAGAATGCAAGTTTTTCCGATACAAGTCCAGTATGATAGCACTTGTAACTGGATGCTGGCGTGGTAGTATGACAGGATGCTGCGCATTGTAATCCAAGGACGAATTTTGTAGTCTGCCACCAACTCGCATCAGCCCAAAGCTATCGATGAATGGAGAAAGTGAGGCCAACGGGCTGGATGATGTAATTTGTCGCTTAGACTGCAGCCTCCAGTAGTCATCAGCCAGGCTGCTCATTTGGATGCATCTGATAAGCATCTGAGTGCCCATTTTTACATCCAGGACGTCTTATGCGGTGAACAAATTTGTATACGTATCCAAAAGTGTGGGTGATCTTTTGCCAAGAATTCACGAACTTGCATTTTGAAGATAGGTCCACTTCTTTAGCGACGCCGACCAAAATGCGCTTTCTGAGGTCGGGAAAAGTCTTCACTGGCATACAAGATTCGGGCCAACCGCGCTGATCCTTAAGAAGAAATTCTAGGCCTCTGAACCAAAGGGCAGATTCCAGAAGCTCGCTCGGGGAAGCACCTCTTGACAAGATGTCGGCTGGATTGCAGTCGGTCGGTACATAGCGCCAATTCATGCCACTGGATAGCTCTTGAATTAAAGATATTCGATTAGCAATAAAAACTTGAAAACGTGAAGGTTCATCGCTTATCCATGATAAAGCTACAGCAGAATCTGACCAGCAAAAAAAGGGCAATCGAAGAGCTTCATGTTGCGTACGTCCCGCATCAGTTGAGCCAGTAAGAAAGCAGCGCACAACTCTAATTTGGGAACAGTGAGAGTCTTCAAAGGTGCCACACGAGATTTTGAGCAAAATAGATGCACTCCCGTTTGCCATCAGCTATTGAAACGAGATAGATGCATCCTCCATATGCGTCGATGCTAGCGTCACAGAATCCGTTGATCTCAATAGCACCATTTGGATGCAACGCACGTCGAGGAAACTTCATTTGCTGAGTATGACCCATGTCAGATGACAGCTTCAGCCATGATGTGTTGAGTGCCTCAGGAAAGCTCTCGTCCCACTCCAACTTCTCTCTCCAGACTTGTTGCAGGAAGATCTTGGCCTTGGCAACCACAGGACCAATGAGACCAAGCGGATCATACACGCGAGCAATTGTGGAAAGCACCAGCCGTTTACATGGCTTTGGAGAGACCTGTATGGGAGAAAAAGAGAAACGAAAGACATCCGCTGCAGGATCCAAAGCAAGACCCAGTGTCTTGGTAAAGTCGTCAAACTTCAGGAATGTTTTGTTTTCCGAGTCAGGAACTTTATCAAGGACATCGCGCTCGTTGGAACACCATTTCCTGAGCTTAAAGCCACCTCGTGCAAGCAAGTTTGTTGTTTGAGACATGATTTCGAGGACTTCCTGTGTTGATTGGCCTCCTGTGATCAGATCATCAACGTAAAAGTCCCGCAAAATGATTTTAGAACCGATTGGAAATGTGCTCTTCTCATCATTCGCCAGTTGATGCATCGCGCGAACGGATAAAAAGGCTGCAGGCTTAGTTCTATAGGTCACGGTATCAAGCTTGAATACCTGCATACCTGGTCCGGTGAGTCACGCCAAAGAATACATTGAAGATAGCTATCGGGTTCAGCCACGCGAACACACCGATACATCTTGCAGATGTCACCAGTCAATGCAACTGGGAAAGTCCGAAACTGTAACAGCGTGTTGAACAGCTTCTGTTGAATGGTAGACCCTGCCATGAGAACCTCGTTCAGCGAATGTCCACTTGACGTTTTGGCAGACCCATCAAAAACGACTCGCAATTTAGTCGTGGTGCTGTCTTCTTTGAAAACGCAGTGGTGGGGCAGAAAATATTTGCAAAGACTCAAGGAGTTTATGGGCACAACCGACATGTGCTTCAAATGCAAATATTCACGGATGAATGCCGAATATTGGACCTTGACTTCTGGCTTGCGCTCTAGCTTGCTCTCCAAATTGAGAAATCGACAATAAGCTTGATTGTACGATTCACCCAGTAATTCTAGAGTGTTCTTCGCAGGTAATCGTACGGAATATTCACCAGAGTCTAAACGACGAAAGTTGGTCTTGAAATGAGCTTCGCACTCCAGTTCTTCTTTGGTGGCTGTGACCACGCCTTCACCACAGCTCTCAACTTCCCAAAAGCGACGGACTAATTCATCCATATGAACTTCAGCAGTAACCAGTTCACGGTGCACAGCTTGGCCGTGTAATGCAGTTGCCTTGAGAGTAGAAGATCCACCTCCTGTAACGATCCAACCAAGCCTTGTTTTCTGCAATAGGGATAACCCAGCAGCCAACTTAATCTGCCCTACAGATAATAGCTCAAAGAACATGCTTGCTCCAATAAGGAGATCTTTTCTCCGAGATCTATAGAAGTCCGGATCGGCCAGCTGAATATTCGAGGGAATTTTCCAACCATCGGGTTTAACGGTCAAACTGGGTTGATTGCCGGTAATCGCTGGAGCAACAAGAGCAGATAGGCATGCGAAGTAATCAGAAGTGTGCGACTTTAACTTGACGCAAGCTGAAACTCCTTCAGAGTCAAATCGAGCATCTCCAAGACCTGCAACTGAAACGGTAGACTTCGTTTTATGCAACTGCAACTGGTGAGCGAGTCTGGAAGTCACAATGTGGACTTGAGATCCCGAGTCTAGCAGCGCACGGCATGGGATCCAAGCACCTGATCGACTTTGAACGCTTATGACAGCAGTTGCAAGAAAGACAATGTCAGAATCCAAATTCTGAGCCAGCAAAGAGGTAGAAGGGCTTGAATTAATTGCAATTGACGTACTTTGTTCTGCAGCTGGAGCTCGCATAACCTGGGTCGACGACTGAGTGCCAAGGTGCAAAAGGGTGTGATGCTTGGACCTGCAAGTTCTACAGCAGCCTGACTTACAATTGCGCATTTGATGGCCCTTCTTTTAGCAATTAAGACAGAGCGCTAATTCCTTCACCTTTTGAATACGAATCGCACTGACAAATTGGCGAATTGACCACAGCTATAAATTGAATGGCCACTGTTGCCGCACACAACACATCCATTTCCTAAAGTGTTAGTGGCAATTAAAATGCTTTTGTTGCAGCTTCTTCCTGATTGTGAACTATATGAGTAGGATGCTACAGTATGCTCTACATTTTCCAATTCTTGACAACGCTTGGACAAAAATGTAGTAAATTGATCAATCGAAGGAATTTCATCAATAGCCGCAGATTCTTCCCAATTGGCCTGAGTTTTGCTATCTAATTTTTGGAGTAAAACATGAACCAGAATGCAATTTGAGATTTGCTCAACCGAGCCCATTGACTGAAGAGCACGTAGATTAGCATTTATTTTATCAGATATATCTCTCAGCTTCGCTGCGGACCGCATTTCCACTTTAGGGAGACCCAAAATTGCAGTTATATGGGATTGGAAAATTAGACGCTTATTATTGAAACGGATATTCAATAACTCCAAGGCTACAGCATAGTTGCTGTCACAAATTTTTAATGAGCGCACTGTATCCAAGGTGCAACCCTTCAGGCTAGACTTTAAATGCTGCAGCTTCTCAATGTTAGTGAGCTCCACGTCATTGTCGATGATAGCTTTGAACATGGATTGAAAGTCGACAAATTCAGTATAGCCACCAGAAAATTCAGGCAATCTCAATTCAAGCAAATGAGATCTTTTAGCCGGCACAGAATGGAAATCCAGAGATGGCTCTGGCCTGAGCGTCGAACTTCGAAGTGCTGGACGTTGACGCTTACCCAATTCTCGATTTAGCATGATTTGTATTGATATGATGAGCTCTTAAAAATCATCGCGAACCTGGCTGCCGATTTCATTAAAATCCAGTTCCTCAAGACTGTCATGGACCTGGGCAAATGCAGCCTTATTCTCCTCTGAGAGCTTAAGACGAAGCTCCAATTCTTCCTCACTCATCGCCTGGAGCTTCTCAACAGTCAAGGCCTTCTCAGAGGATTTCGCCTTAGAAAGCATTGATTCAGCCTTCAATTTAAGATGCTTCACTCCCTGAACTGAAGCAGATAAGGTTGTTTCGGTTGACATTTTAATAAATTTATTTTATTATTTTCAGCTTTTATCACCCGTAAAATAATTAAATTCCACTGTGCAGGGCGTGCTGTACCAAAACTCTTGACCACCGAAAACTAACGGAATGTATGTGCGTCTATTTGCACATAAACGGCAATATAGCGGTGGAAGGGGGTGCAACAAACAAAACAAAACAAAAACGTTTGGTCGCCGCTGTAAAACGTTTCAAAGCGGGAACGAAGGCACAAAGAGGAAACCAAAATGTTCTCTATGATGCGCGGGGCGGGTGCGATGTGAGTTTCTAGCGGTGTTTATGTATTACCGCTTGCGCTAGCATTTGTACATAGAACTTGCAGGTTATGTATATGCGCGATCAATCAAACGAACGAAAATTAAATTCTTTGTTTGGTTGTACTTTAGTTTTTATTGTTTTTAAATCACGTCGGGGTCACCAAAATGTTGGTTAGTGAGCTTTTTCACTAACGCTTACCTTTGATGGTGCCCAATTAAAACAAAACAAAAATGACACCAAGGCCTTAATTACAAAGTTTAATGTTTATGTTTAAGATTATTTGGTTGGGCAGGCAGACCGATTTGTCTGTGCCTTTTAACAGCGAAAGTATAAACGAAGAGAATGGGCAGGCGATCTGCGACCGTGCCTTCAGCGAGCGAGTACAAAATCGAAACTGAACTTAAGTAGATGCTTGCCGTGGACAAAGGGCCAGGCAGCGATCGGCGAAAGAATTCAAAAGGAGTAGCAATTACAGTAATTGAAAGAGATGCCACGCAGGGCAAATAGAAAATGCAAAAACAAACATCGAGAATTCAATTTACGTTAAGATTAGAAACTTTAAGAATTTACAGTGGCGTGCAAGTCTAAGTACATGTTTGCAACTATTGACTTTGGGCCCGCATAAAAAAGTTATTAGTAAAGTAAATGAATCCAAATTTTTTGTGTTTTTCCTTTTAATATTTATTAACAAATCCTTATACAAAAGATAACAAAATAAACTAATTGGTTTCCTTAAGAAATAAAAAACAAAATAAACTCGCATGTACTCAGTTATGCTCAATTTGAATTTTTCAACAAAAGTTGCACAGCTGATTCAATTGAAATCTTAATTACCAAATTTTACCGTTTGTTTTTGAGAAGCTTCTATTTTAAAGTTCTTTATGAAAGAATTTAACTAAAAACATACAAAATCTCACGTGTTTTTGCTGTTTTGCATAAAAAATAAAAAAATGAAGAAATTGTCAAGAGACGTTGAAGATTCGGTAGTAAACCTAACAGAAAATGGATGTTCGACACGAATAATATCCAAAAAGTTAAAAATCAGCCAATCAGCAGTCATTCGTGTGCAAAAAAGGCGCGACGCGGTACCCAAGGTACAGAGAAGTGGTCCACGTCGAATTTTGACTGATGCAGATGCAAGGCTTATGATCCAAAAAATTAAAAATGAGAAAAATTGTAGACCCAAGGATGCATCCGCAGCCATAGGTAAGCCCGTCAGCCAGTGGACAGCGTGTCGAGCACTCAGGCGCATTGGATACGTCTCAGAAGTGAAAAAGAAGAAGCCGGCCTTGTCCAACAAAAATATAAAAGCGCGACAAAATTTGCGAGGGCGCATAAAAATTGGAAGTTGGACGACTGGAAAAAGTTATATGGTCTGATGAATCTAAATTCAATCGATACCAGTCGGATGGTAAACAATATTGTTGGAAGAAGCCTGAAGAGTCGTTGCAGAAACGCCACGTACAAGAAACCGTGAAACATGGAGGAGGAAGTGTCATGGCCTGGAGCTGTTTTACTTGGTGGAGCGTTGGACCAATTAAGAAAATAGATGGAATTATGAAGAAGGAAGACTATCTTAATATTTTGCAGACCCATCTTTGCGATTTTGTTGACAAATGTGCATATAAGGAGAGTGACATCACATTCCAACAAGATGGGGATCCAAAACACACTTCCAAAATAGTCAAAGAATGGATCGCAAGAAGACATTTCAAGTTAATGGAGTGGCCAGCACAGAGTCCTGATCTCAATCCTATCGAAAATTTGTGGTCGATAGTGAAAAGACGATTGGGACTCTACGAATCGGTACCAGCAAACCAGCACGAGTTGTGGCAACGAGTTCAGCAAGAATGGAGAGCTATTCCAAAAGAAATCATACAAAATTTGGTAGAAAGTATGCCAAATCGAATAAATAGCGTAATTAGAAATAAGGGTCTTTGGACCAAGTATTAAAAAATAAGCGTTTGTTGAAAAATTCAAATTGAGCATAACTGAGTACATGCGAGTTTATTTTGTTTTTTATTTCTTAAGGAAACCAATTAGTTTATTTTGTTATCTTTTGTATAAGGATTTGTTAATAAATATACAAAGAAAAAACACAAAAAATTTGGATTCATTTACTTAACTATTAACTTTTTTATGCGGACCCAAAGTCAATAGTTGCAAACATGTACTCAGACTTGCACGCCACTGTATATAGGCTGCGGCATGAGCGAACACAGCCGTTTGTCAAAAAAGTTAATTAAAGTGAAGTGGCAAAGCACGAAATTCTAAAATAATCTTGTGAATTTTGTTTAGAGTCTTTTTAAAGACTTGCAAAATTTTAAAGTTTTTTTTTAAACTTTTTTAAAGTAACTATAAAGTTGACCTAATATTAGAATTTCGAGGCGTGTCATTTGTGTTGTGCATAAATGTTGTCGTTGCGACTATTCCTTTGTTTAGTCCACAAGAAATTAAAGTGAAGTGACAGAGCACGAAATTCTAAAATAATCTGTGTCTTTTTGTTTTGCATTGTGAATTTTGTGTAGAGTTTTTTAAAGACTTGCAAAATTTAAAAGTCTTGATTCTTTTTTAAAGTAACTTTAAAGTTTACCTAATATTCGAATTTTTTAAAAAATGTGTGTCTTTTTGTTCATTTTGTTTTGCTTTGTGAATTTTGTTTAGAGTCTTTTTAAAGACTTGCTAAATTTTCGTCAGTTTTTAATTTTAAATTCAGTTTTCAATTTAAATTTTCAATTTTAATATAAATAAAGTTTTTTATTTTTTCTTTGACAAATTGACCTTATGTTATAATTTCGTTCGAGCTGGTTGATTAGTGTTGTGAAAAATAGGATATGGTTTTTATAAATAATGGTAACACACTCCTGTAAAAACTGCAAGTATACCCTATTATTGAAGCATTTTAAGAACTAAGTCCTTTAAAATACTTTTACTTATATTTTTTCCATAATACTTTTTTATTTTCAATATTAATATAATTTTAATCTAATTTTTTTAATATAAATAGATTTTAGAATCAACAAAATTTTAGAAACAAAGTTAAGATAAATTGTTATAAGAATATAATAAATATAGTTTTTCTCAAGTGACCGGTTCATTAAATTAAATATTTTATTTATATAATTAACTAACTAATTGTTAAGCCTTAAACATTTTTTGGTGCGTATTGCTGTGTGTCTGTTAAAATAACTTTATTTTGCGGAAATCTATTTGGGTTTGTTTTCTAAAT